ACTCAAGACTGGATAAAGAAAAAGTTTTCTTTTAAAATAAAATGGAATACTACTACTCAGCCATAAGAAAGAAATTAGAGACATTTATAGCTAAATGGATGCACATTGAGGTGATACTCTTAAATGATATAAATAGGACACACGTGTAAATACCGAATAGTTTCTCTAGTGTGAAAAACTGAAAGTGTAAATAAGGACTAAAAGGTATAATAGATAATGTGAAATAGGAAGTGGAGGGACAAAGGGGAAGGGGAAGTGGGAGGGGTGGGGAAAAAGAAGGCAATGGAATTAATATAAGAAAATGAAAAATAATGGAAACAAATTCTTTGTAGATAGGGGTTAAAGGGAGAGCAGAGGAATGGGAAAAAATAAGAACTAAGATTGATTATGTAAAGGTCCAAATTTCCAACAGTGAATGTCATTACGTTGTTTACATAAAATGTACCAATAAAATTAATTTTTAAAAATGTTATAAAAAAACTAAACTTTTTGTTTTGAAATAATTGTGTATTCACATATACCTGTAAGAAATAATACAGAGATACTGATACACCCTTGAACCAGTTTCTCCCTATAGTAACATCTCAAAAAATAGCATAACACTCACAGCCAGGATTCTAACATTGATACAGTCAAGATTCCAAGATTTCTATCACCATAGGATCTCTGATGTTACATTTTTAGAGTCACACCTGTTTCCTTCCTGAACCTATATAACCCTTCTTAACTTCTGGAAACTACTAATTTGTTGTCTATTTGTGTAAATTTGTCAAGAACTTTGTATAAAAGAAATCATCCAATATGTAAGCAATATGTAATCTTTTGTTGATTGCCTTTTTTACTAATCAGAATTCTTTGGTTGGAGATATATATATGTTGTTGTGTTCAAATAAAGGTGCTGTAAGTACTCATCCACAAATTTTTTGTGTGAACGTACTTTTCATTTCTTTGGGTCAAACACCAAAGAGTGCAGTTGCTGGATTATGTGGTGTTGTGTATTTAGTTATCTAGGAAACTGCCCAACTTTTCTCCATAGTGGCTGAACCACTTTGCATTCTTGCCAGTAGTGAAGGAGTGATCTGGTTTCTTTGTGTTGGTGGCCTCATCATTTTTATTTTAGCCACTCTCCTAATTGTATAGTGATAGCTCATTGTGGTCTTACCTTTTTTCCCACAATGCTTCATTGTACTGATCATTTTTTACTGTGCTTATTTGCAGTCAGTGTATTTTTGCAGTCAGTCATCTTTACTAAAGTGTCTCTTTATTTTTTTTCCCCCATTTTCTAATTGGATTGTGTGGTTTTTTTACTGTTAATTTTTGAGAGTTCTTTGTTTATAGTATAGATTCGAAACCTCTGTCAGACATGGTTTCTTCCAGTCTGTGGCTTGTCTTTTCATCTCTTACAGGGATTTTCACAGTGAAAATGTTTTAAATTTTGATAAAGTTAAAATTTTCAATTTTCCCCTTATAGATCTGTAAAAGCTGAAGAATTCTTGATGTAGTCCTACATGATTTTTCTCCTGTGTTTTTCCTAAAAATTTCATTATGTTTTACATTCAAATGTTATTGTTATACATTCAAGTTCATTATGATTCATTGAGTTAGTGTAAAGCTTATGTCAAGGTTTATCTGTTTCTTTTCTTTTTTTGTGTGTGTGACTATGGATTTCCAGTTGTTACACAGAGCCATTTGTTGGAGCTGTCTTATCACCACTGAATTGCCTGTCCATTGATTTATGTCTCTGTCCCTCCACCAGTAAAGCACAGTCCTGGTAGCTGTAGCTGTATATATAAATCTTAAATTAGGTGAACAGATTCCTCCTACTTCAGTTTTCTCTTTCAAAATGGTTTTAAGCATTCTTATTCTTTTTCCTTTCCATATAAATTTTAGAAAAATATTATTTATGTTTTCTCCAAAATTTTGTTGGGCTTTGATGAGAATTGTGTTAAACCTATATATTCCTTTGAGAAGTATGGCTATATTTACTATTCTGAATTTTTCAGTCCATGAGCAGAGCATGCCTCTCTCACTCTTTAGATAACCTTTGACTTCTTTTATTCTGTATTTTCAGTATAGAAGTACACATTTTGTTGGTATATTTTCTGAGTGACTCAAGTGAAAATTGACTTTGTAATTCCTGTTACATGTATTGAATTCCGTCAAATGTTTTTTCTGCATTGATATGACCATGTTTTCCTAATTATTCCTTTTATGTTGTAGTGTATTTCATTTGATAATATTTTGTTAAGGATTTTTACATTTATATTCATGAGGGATATTTCTCTGTTTTTTTTGTTGTTATGTGGTTTTGGTTTGAGGGCTAATACACTGTCAAAAGATTAGGAAGTATTCTCTGTACTTATATTTTCTGAAATAGATTGTGTAGCATGGTGTTAATTGTCCATTAAATATTTGATTAAATTTTCCAGTGAAATCATCTGGGCCTAGTGATTTTTCTTAAGAATTAAAAAAATATGTATTCAATTTTCTTAATAGTTGTAAAATTATTCAGATTACTTATTTTGTACTGAGTGAGATGTGGCAGTTTTTGTTTTTTGAGGAGTTGGCTCGTTCTGTCTAAATCATCAAATTATTTTGTATGTAAATTATTCTGAGCATTTGCTTATTGTCCTCTTGATGTTTGCAGTGTCTGTACTGTTGTCTTGTTTCAGTTCTGATACTGGTACTATAGTTTGTCCCCTCTCTTTTTTTAATTTGTTATTCTTGCTAGAGGTTAGTTTTATTGATCTTTAAAAATAACCAACTCTGTTTCATTCGTTTTCTCTATTATTATTATTTTTATTATATAGCATCCCTGTCTATTTCTGGTGATTTTCTTTTCTCAGAGGTTTACTTCATCTGCTATTAATGTAGCAATTTCTGCTTTCTTGTGGTTCACATTTCCAAGATATATCATTTTCCATTCTTTACTTTCAACTGGTTGATATTCTATTTGAAGTGAGCTCTGTATAGGCTTCACTTAGTTGTCATGGTTTTTAATCCAATATTCAAAACCCTGTCTTCTAATTCATGTGTTTAGCCCATTTATATCGAATGTAATTGTTGACATTGCAGCTAAAGTCTACCATTTTATTTTGTGTTTTCTGTTTGCCTTCTCTGTTTTATTTCTGTTATCTTCTTACCTTCCTGGGAAATGTTTTGCATTCAGATTTGTGAGGTATTAAAGACAATCTTTTTTCCTTATTAAAAGTTAGTAGAATTCACTGAATATTCAATATTAAATATTCCTGACATCTGTTTATCCAGTTAGCCATCAGTTCATCTATCCTTTGGAGAGGTATTTGCTGAACTTTCCCCCTTCAGTTCTTATTAGTATTTTTGTTTTCTTTGGCCATTGTAACAAATTATCATAAGGGGGTGGTGGCCTGAAGCAACAGAATGTACTTCCTTGGTTCTGCAGTCCTCCCTCCTGCAGGGAGTCAGCATTCCCTGACCTGGCTGCACCCCACGTCTTGTGGCTCTACTCAAACTGCTCCTCTGTTCTGTATTTTCCTCTGAGTTACTCTTTTAAGGACATGTGTTATTGGATTTAGGGGAGACTCAGATAATTCAGAATGATCTCTTCATCTCATGATCCTTTTGAAAATTTAGAAAACCCTCACAGATTCCAGCATTAGAGTGTGGACATACCTTTTAGAGGGCCACCATTTGATCCAGTATGAACAGTATTTGTAAATGCAACTTTGATTTCCCTTTTTTTATTCTCACCCCATCTTGAAACTTTGTTTCACAATTGACATTTGTCTCTTTGCCTTCTCAGTTTATCTGTTGAAGGATTCACTTAGAAAAAATTCATTGTCAAAGGATTCACTTAGACAATAGTGAGAACAGTTAAAAATCAGTCATATATTTCACAGACTACTGTTTTACAGCAGGATAGCTTCATTTAGAATCATAATATCCTTTTTTTCATAATATGCTTTTTATGTACAGAATTGATAAAACTCTGAAGCAAAAACTTGCTACTTTAAAAAATTAAGAATGTATTAAAGTCTAAAGTACATAAAACTCAAATAGTTCCATTTGAAGAGAAATAAAAAGAATTCAAATAAGCAAATGTTATGGCATTAGCAATTAATATTTATGTTGCTGTGCATTATAAATATGTGAATTCCCCTTGAGGTCATTTTCTAGCATCTTTTCTATACATTTCAAGTACTTGCAGAAATGTCACTTAAGAAATATTTTACAAGCAAAGGGTTACGCTGGGGATGTAGCTCTGTGGTAGAGTGCTTGCCTAGCAGGATGGAAGCCATGGGTTCCATCCCACTACTGAATTTTAAAATGGCAAAGGATTTTTTTGTAGCTCGTGGAAATAGGTTTTTAGAAAAATCTAAATACTTTTCAGGGTACTGGAGTATAACAGAGATTATAATGGTAAAACTTTAATGAATATTGTATCGAAAAGGTGTTGTGTAAGTATACTTGGATAAATTTTTGAGTATGGTATATATGTATCTTTTAAGAAGTTTCTGGCAACTCATGAAATCAGTTTATTAAAACTAGTAATTTCACTGTGCTCAAAGAAAGTTGTATGATTTGCTGTAGTTGATATTGATGCTATCCCTGTTTTTGCTATGATTATTGTTACTATAGTGATTTTTTTACACATATATATACATATATGTATATATATATATATATATATACATACTTTTATATATACATATATATATACATACTTTTATATATACATACTTATGAAGTACAAATTTACAGGTCATGGGAAAATGATGTAGAATTTTAAGGTAACTACTTAATAGTTTCAAGACTTAAAGACATGTTTATAGAGAATCTTATTTTAGCACAACCATAATATTTTCATGTATCTGTTATGATTTAATGAAATTTTATTCCTAGTTTTATTTTTATATCTCAGTGATATGTTTACAACTCTAAATCAGTCCATTCTTTTTATTATCATAAGCCAACAATTGAGTTTATGATTACAAATTTAAAATTTGTGTTTTCTTTATAAGTGCTGGTCAAGATATCCAAGGAACAAGTGTGATTGCAAATCTTCCATTTTTGATGCGACAGAATCCTACTGAGACACTTCGGAGAGTTTTGCCAAAAGTCAGAGTAAGTTGGTATGAAATAAGATTTAAATTTCTCATTTCTTCCCAGTAGCATATTGTCATTTTTGGGAGAAAATTTTGGAGCTTTGATGCAAAGCTGATATTTTGTATCTAATATTTGAATGGGAAAAACATTGCCATACACTGTAAAGATTTAAGAAAGTTTTTCAGTAGAGGTATTTTTAAATTAACTTTTTGATATCTAAAAATCTTAATTATTATAAAATCATGGATATCTTGATGACTAAAATATAAATTAATACACTATTGTATTTTTGTACAACATTGATAATGTAGTTTAACTGATATTCCTAATAAAGGTCCTTTGGTAACTCGTGAAAAATCTTGGCATAAAGATTACTTTATAGCCATTACAACTTTGTTTTATTAATTCTTAATTCGTTTAGAATTAGTTTTCCTGCTATGAACATACATGCTTTATCTACTATCATGTTAGATTGTGTAATATTGATTACTGATATTGGCATGAAATACTTAATCACATTTATTACTTATTTGCATCTGTGTGTAAGTCTCTTGCTAATGAGGTCACATTGTGCACATGCTAACGGAGGTAATGTTTGCTGTAGTGAGTGTTGTATATTTTGTGTTTAGTTATCACCATTTTCTTAAATTTTTATTAATTTATATATGCTTAAAACACTGTAGCTATTTGTGTGACCTCGGGTTTTATTTTTTAGGCATATATAGCATATTTCTAGTTATTTCAATTTAGGTCAGAATTATGTTATTTTTGCAAGATGTCCACATTTCTGTGCAGGCGGTGTGATAGTTTTTAATGGTTACAGTGGTGAATAGAGGTGATATTTGTTTTGGCATTGCATGTGATTCACAAGTGAAATAAGCTTTTTCACATCTGTTTTCCCCAGAATCATGCCATAATTTCAAAGAAACACTGACAAGGTTTATTTTTCATATTCAGTTTTGGAAATAGTAACTGACCTAAACTTAGTATGACACTTGGAAATGCCAGTTAAATAATAGAGGAAAGGAACAAGTGTTTTGGGCCTCTTGACTACAGACTTAATGTCAGTAAACACATAAGATGTAAAGCCCAAAGTATTACACATTCTGCATAGTGTTGAACTGGCTAATCTGTTCCACAGAAAGCATATTGAATGTCCAAATTTGTATAAAGCAAGAATAAAAGATGAAAAGTCGAAAGCAGTGACCTTCAGCAGTCTTGAAGTTATTTTGCCAAAATTCTTTGCCTAATGGATTCACAGTAAAGGAGGTTAATTAACATCTCCCAAGAAGTCTTAATTTTATGGGAATGTATAAAGGTTATGTGTGTATTTGAATATACTTGGGAGGGTCTGGGTTCAATCCCTAGCACCGAAGAAAGCAAGAAAAGTATACTCATATTTACAACATATTTATACACAGTACCAAATGGATGTTCTGAAACTATAGGTATAATTGAGTTGTAGAAGATAGAGTTCTAATGAGCTTTTAAAGTATTTAAAATTGATCCATAAATCAGAGGACTGATTAGATGGAAACAAAGAAAGTACATGCTAATCAGTTTGTACTCAGAAAACATTTACTTATGATCTCCTTCATTTCTTTAATGAGTCAAAAACCATTTAATTAGAAACCTTGTTTATCTTGCCCTGTACTGAGTTTGGAAGAGCTACTGGAAAAAAGTACAGGAGTCTCAGATTAAGCCCTATGTCAGGAAGACCTAAAAACTATGGAAAAGAATGAAAGGTCAAATACATATAATGGAGCACTGTATTGTTTTTACTTTATGAAAAGCGCTGAAGAATGAAGAATATTAGAAGGGGCAACTCCAACAGTAACGCTTTTATGGAGAATTTAATGTTTAATTAATCAACCCTGTTTCAAATGATGAAAAAACTCATCCTTAGGATGTGGAAATGATTTTAAATGTCACTGCACTCAGAGTTTAAGACTTATTGATACTCTGGTTAATGCCCTCTTTGCATCTACCTTGCTTGTAGGAGTGATTGCTTCCCAGTGATAGAGCCATGGCAAAGTCTCCTGCCTACTTTGTTCATCTTCTCACAGTCAAATTTCTTAGTTAATTTTATAGGGAAACAAGCTTGTATCCCAAAGTGAGCATTTAGTAATAATGGCATTCTCCTTCAGTAAGTATTTACTGAGTACTTCTCAAGTAGCAAGCAACAGCACTGGAGAGAAATAGAAGGGAATCAAACAGAAAAGAAACTTGACCTCAAGAGGCTGCAGTATAAAAGGAGAAACAGATTTTAAAGAAGTAAACCAACAATATAAAATAAAAAGGGTATAACTGTTATTTATGATCAGGTCTCTAAAAGACAGAGTGATAAAATAGAAAGGAGACCTGTTGTGACCTGGGAGGCCAAGAAAATCCTTTTTGTTTTGCTTTTTGGTACCAGGGATTGAACTCAGAACCTTGCGCTTGTGAGGCAGGCGCAGTGCCACTGAGCTAAATACCTGGCCCTTTGTTTTGTTTTTTTGAGACAAGGTCTTGCTATGTAGTTTAGGGTGGCCTTGAATTTACTGTGCTGCCCAGGCAGGACTTGAATTCATTGTGTTCCTCTTGCCTCAGCCTTCCAAGTGCTGGGATTACAGGTGTGCACCACTATACCTGGCAAGAACATCCTCTTTGAAGCTCAGTGTGGTGGTGCCCACTGCTTGTAATGCCAGCAGTTTGAGTGGCTGAGACAGGAGCAGCACAATTTCAGGACTAGCCTGGTCAACTTAGCAACTTACCAGACCCTGTCTCAAATTATAACTTAACAGGTTGGGGATATGTAGCTCAGTGTGAAGACCCTAGGTTCAATTCTTAGTCACACACACACACACACACACACACACAGACACACACACACACACACACACAAACGCAACACCAAGAAATAAAGGCTGTTTGAAGAGCTGAACACTGAAGTGATGATGAGTCAGAGATGAGTGTAGTGCAGGCCTAGAGCGTGGTGGAACTAAGAGAGGCGAGTGTGGCTGAAAGCCAGCAAGTAGGTGTGACTTGGGAAGAGGCCAGAGAAATAGTCAGTGACAGAGAACACAACAGTTGGTTTTTCAGTGGAAAGCCCTTGAAGACTTTTAAAGTAGGGCAGTGACTTAATCCCACTTACATTTTATGGCCATCATTTTGGTTACCGTGTGCAGTGGATTGGAACAGAACAAGTGTGAAGCTCTGGCACTGGTCTTCATGATATTTGATGGTGGCTTTGGTTAAGACAACTAACTTGGGCTGCAGAGCACGGTAGAGGTATCTGAGACATCTGTCAAGGTCGAATGGAGAGAGCTGTATAATGGATTGGACTCAGGAAGTGAGGGATGACATCCAGATTTCTTGTTTGAGTACCCAGGAGTTTTGATGCTTTTTAGCATCTTGTTGATGGTCTGTTAAATTCATGGGGAATTATAATCTGAGTATTTACTAATACGGGTCTTATATGAATGATATACTTTGAGAGAATTAAAAATATCAGCAATAATATTTTATGCCTGAAATAATTATTCCTAAGGTTCATTTGAATTAGGAGTTTAAGCAGCTTTTAGAGCTCATCCTTTCTCCTGTCTTTAACTTTAACTTAAAGAGCATTAAATAAAATGATATTGACAATTTTATTCGCTGTATGTGTTAAATTTCACCATTAATATTTTTAAGTATTTACCATATTTTATCCTTATAATAATACACTAACTGAAAAATGGTATTTTAAAAAATAAGCTGCTATTTTCATTGTTTTAGAAATGCAGGGATTTTAAGGTTAAATAAAATGCAGAAACAGTTAACATTAGAAGTGAACTAATTCTATTGTATTTCCATAGCTTACTTTCTAAATTACATTCAAATTGGAAAATGCTTGGTAGTGCAAGTGGTTCATTTGGCTCATCTCAAGGCTGTTTGTTTTTGTTTTTGTCTTTTTGAGACAGGGTATCCCTATGTAGTTCAGGCTGGCCTGGAACTCGTGGTGATCCTCCTTCCTCAGCCTCCCAAGTGCTGGGATTACAGGTGTGCGCCACCATGCGCAGCACCTCAAGGTTAAATTTAAGTCAGAATCTAGGAAGGAAATATTTTGACCCCCAGTTTAAATTTCCTACATGTGGAGACACTTTAAAACATAGTTGCTTTAATGTATTCTTGATATACAATCTAACCCTGGGATATGTTTTGAAAAAGAAATAATTTTTTTCTGTGATTTTTATTTTACTGTTTTAATTTTTTAACACTATATTAAATTTAAATCTTAGATGTTATTTTAACATCTGGGGTATTGACCTCGGGACCTTGCACTTGTGAGGCAGGCCACAGAACCACTGAGCTAAATCCCCGGCCCTTAGATCTTTAATATTTGATTCAAAATTCTGTTATCTAGAAGTGAAAAAATTTGGCAAGATTTCTAAAATACTGTAGTCCTTTATAAAATTTAAATGGTAATGATACAATTATATTGTGTATCATAGATGCCTTCTTTATAATGAAGTGCATAAATTTTGTTGTTATTAAATTCATTTCATGGTTTTTTCTCTTGTATTTTGGTTCATATATATCACAAGATTATACAGTAAAATACAGTATCAGGTATAAATAAAATAACTAGCAAATATTTACTGAGACCTTGTTATGTGTCAGGCGCTGTACTTTTTTTTTCTTTTTCTTTTTTGATACAGGGTCTCACTATGTAGTTGATAGTGGAACTCACTATGTAGTCCAGGGTGGCCTCGAACTCACAGCAATCCTCCTCCCTCAGCCTCCCAAGTGCTGGGATTACAGGCATACACCACTATGCCCAGCCATGCACTGTACTCTTGTCAAATATTTTATATATTTTTATCTTTGAATCTTTTTTTTTTTTTTTTTT